CCAGCCCCCCCCCCATCCCCCACCCCCCGTGAACACTCATCCACCACCTCGCCCTCCCACTCTTGCTTCATTCTAAATGTAGAATTTAAAATGTCCTGTCTTGTGCTCAAGATGCACAGAGGAGCCATTTAACATGTGCAGGCTTCTATTATAAGTCAGAGACGCTAGGGATGGATACCAGAGGGAGGCAGAGGGACAGAGGTCGTGGTCAGGACCGATTGAGCGTGTGCGTGATGGGTAAAGAGGATGAAAACATGAAGAAAAAAAATAGAAGCTGATGACTTTGTAACTAATCAGGAAATAGACTGTACGCTAAACCCCTCCTCCTGAATGGTGATGGTCCAATCATGGCTTAGTAATCGTCACCATGCAGGCAGGTCTGTCGAGCTTTGGCTTGATCAAACCCGAGAAACAATCAACACCACATTTCAAGAAACTACGATCTGAAATCAGGCAGTGGCCGAGCTTCCTGCACCTTGAGCCTCCAAAGAGACCAGCTCTTCTGGCAAGCACTCATTAATTCAGTCCTTAATATATTCAGACAGACGGACATCTGGAGAAATCAGCCTGAACTTGCTCAATGTATACTTAGCCTGGGTCGAACCACTGCACTGCACATTTGAGTAAAGAGATAAAATGAGCAAATCCCATTGAGAGCAGGGTAAAAGCATTTTGCTTTCTGAAAGATTCTATTAAGTGTCCATCAGCTAACGTGAACTTCATAGAGAGGTACTGAGCTCAGGGAAGACTTTATTCTTTTTAAGATGCAGGTGAGCTGGCGACCCTCACCGAGACAGAGAGACAGACAATCTCCCTGAGGTTACAACTCAGGTATAAAAGTGGAGTCAAAAAAAGAACAAAAATCTTCTTTTAACAAAATCAAATAATTAAGGATGGAGTATAAGCTTAATTAGAAAGCTGCATAAGAGCATCACCCTGCAACCACGCAGACACGGGAGGAAATATGTGTGTATGTACTTAATGTAAAATTCCTGAAGGCTTCCTAAGTAGCAGCTAAATTTACCATTAAAAATGATGAATTGACAGCGATTTCATCATTGTACAAATATGTTACATTTATTTGCATTTCACTCTAGTGCTAAAAGAACAATGTTGATAATCGAGCGGTTGTTTCAAGTCATTTTCTAAAGGTTCTCTTTTCGATATCCAGAGCATTACTATAGCAGCAAACAGCCATTAGCCATGTAAAGATATAGTGGAGTCATTTCTACCTGAGCAGAGAAATAAATCACTTTCCCTCTGCGTGTGTTATAATTGAATTTTTTTCCTTGCTTTGTTTACATCGCTGGGCCGGCCGTGTGCACCTTTTATTGCATGTTCGTGCCGCCGCTCTGCTCTGCTCACATACAGCAGCTATAGCTGATAACGCCGTCCTGACCGATGAGTTGTCAAGAAAGTGGAGCATCCACCCTTCAGTTCCCCGTCTGGTAAACACTGCTAGCTCCTTCAGCACTGTTAGCGTTATTAGCACCGTTAGCTGCTAGCCGCCATGGTGAGAGCCGTGTGGAGGCAAACATCTAGACCATGTGATTAATTGAAATAAGAAATGGCAGATTAATGTATAATGAAAATTATCATTAATTGCCCGATTCTACTGCAAAAAAACCCTGTAACATACTAAAAATGACTAACATAATATGCACATAGTTGTCCTGTATTAAGTATGACACTTGTACCCCTCATACAAGGAATGTAGCCTCTAAAGTAGCGTGTGTGCGTTTGTGCCAGGCTCTGTGCACGTGTGTGTTTGTGCATCTTCACCTTTCTCGCGGCTACTCATTCATCTCGGTTTGACAGTCCCATTACCAGAGGCAGCTACTGTGGCTCAGAAAAGAGCACTGGGAGCACCAGGGGTAATACCACTTAGCAGAGCCATCATGCTGACGCTTACTTATGCGCCACGTTCTGCCTTTAAAATTAGCATCATGCTAATGTTTCCTATAAAACATCAGTCCTGTGTGCATCATATTAAAATGCACTGATGAGGATTTTAACCTTATTTAGTGAAAAATAAAGAAAAATCTATAACCAGTAATACACAGCTGTCCTGCAGAGACAAACGACTTGGTGTGGTCATGCAGAATCGGGGCTGTAATTGATTTGGGACTGCAACTGCTGTCAGTCTTGTCTTGAAGTATTTGAGAGCGCTTGGCGCTCATAGCTGCCAATTCCCTGTCACTTAGCACCAAGCTAGCCATCAGCTGTCTCAGGAAACAGCTTACCAGTAGCATTTGCTGTTGTTCTCCAGTAGTTTCTCCACCATGTGCTCCACTCGAACAAACCAGCTGGGGACGGCTTTGTAGATCAGAGGCGTGTCAGACCTGAAAGCATATAAACACATTACATAAAACATACAATAAAACGCATTTATAAGAGAAATCATAATTCATGAGCCAAGTCAAATTAAGTTCAAGTACAAATGAATAGGAAATCGGAATCACACTATTTAGTATCATAATTCTAATACCTTGTTCGACCTGCTGCCTGATATGTTTTAATCGTGTTCTACTTTTTCATCTCTACAACCAATTTGTGGTTGACGGTATATTCTTTTGAAAACGGCTGAAGGAGAAGGATCGCCTCGTCAACGACCCTTGGTCCACGGCTCTACGTTTTGTCTCAAGCATAGCTCTACGTTTTGTCTCAAGCATAGCTCTACGTTTTGTCTCAAGCATAGCTCCCTCCACTTTGCTGAGTTCTACCTTGCAGGTGCCGAGTGGTTAATAACACAACTGTTTCATCTCTACCAGCCTGTGTCTCCTCGTGGCTTAAAGAGCACATCTCTGCTATTTACTGGGTTAATTAATCCTGCTCAGGTCAGCCTGCAGCTGCACCTAGTGAGACGGTGATTTAGTTTGCTTAAAAAGTGAGTGTGTATGAGTGGGTCTGCATGTGATAATGTGGGAACTTGAGGTTGTGTGTGTGTGTGTGTGTGACACTATGCTGACATTGGCTTTGTGAATTGATTCTGTGCAGAGACCACAAAACCTCTAATGCTCCTGAGGGAGGCACGAATAGAGAAGAACCACAAACTTTTTTTAACACTGTACTAAATGCTGAACTGTACATTATGTCTTCCAACACTAAATAAGGCCGCCTGTATTGAAGTAGGAAATACAATATTTAATTTGAAGAGGACTAACAGCAGGTGTGGTCATTCTATAATCATTGCTTTAATGGTCCCCAGTGGAAGAGTGACACCGTTAGTCTAAGTGAGTTGTAAGGCGCCGCTCTAACGAGGCACAGCGTTGACATTAGTTTCAACTGTTTGTCTCACCTCCAGCAGAAGGGGTAACTATGTTTGAAACTGCTGGCGTTGACGAGGCGACCCTTCTCCTTCAGCCACTTGATGATGTTTTTGTCGGCATCCTAAAAAACAAAAACAAAAACCATTTTAAAATATGCAGCGTTAAAGAGTAACACAATACCAGGCTGAAAAGCGGCGTTTCACCGTTTTCTCAGGTTAGAGTTCCCATGTGGTTTGGTGTGGTCAGAAGGGTGCAGCGTGTCACCTGTAACTACACCCAACTGTGACGTCATAGTGTACCGACACACCCTGGATTACACCTGAACATCATTGCTGAACGGTGAGAAGTTAAGGCACTGGAGGCTAGTTTATGAATTTATGATATTTGCTACCCAAGCTTGTTAAATTAAGCATCTCACTATTTTATATATATAACAGTCTTCTTTACAAATACAATTTGTCTTTTTTCTTTATGTCCATTGCTCAAAGTATTTTTCACATAATATTAACATATTTAGTGTACATGTCAGCAGTATTTAAAACCCCAATGAAAACAACTGGACGTCAGCACTAATTAAAAACACTCAAAAATATTGGTCTTAAATAGTTACTATCGTCTTAAACATTTGTCCTTTACATATTATTCCACAAACCTCTTCATATTAACAGCTTGTGTAATCATAAACTGCAGTAGCACAACTACAGCGGAACACAGTTACTAGTATTAGTTATAATACTACGTGTACTACTATGTATGATATTTTGTAAATCTATTATTGTAGCGATTGGAAAATTTTTAGTTTACTTTATCTATTTCTTGTATTTTAGAGAGGTGCAAAGTGAAGCCATACCACGGCACCACTACTGTGCACCACTGGCAGTTTGTTGCTTTGGCTAGAGTTAAGGCAAAGCATTCCTTTATCGCTAGGTTAACATCTTCTCACCTCTGGTTCCTTGAATGCACCACGGCTCTACGTTTTCCTTTGAGAAACACCGAGGTATAGTCACAGCCGAGGTCACGTCTGCTCATTCAGGTATGATAAACACCAAAGAGGGAGTCTGTTTTGTCATACAGCTCATTTTTTTTTTATGGCAAACAATCCAATATGCAATCAGCCTTGTGCCTCATCACGCACCAGTGCATCTCCCTCTAACCAAGCTCTCAGTGCAATTCACAGGAAGCTCATGAATACGACTTCTCAGCGAGGTGTTTGGCAGACTGTTGGTCGTGACCTCTTTGTAGAGAGACAGCTTTCAAATCTTCTCAGCCAGGAGTACATTTTGTTGTGCCCTGACCCGGGCTCATTAAAACATGAAAGAGCACCTGTGATGTGGAGATTCTTTGGAACTTCGCCTGCAACCAATTGAGAGAATTTCACCACCTGGCCAATTTAGTATCAACAAGAGTTACTAGATATATTTACTAGATTACTGACATATATCTGTGACTCTTTTAGAAAATCTTTCAGTTTCTGGTTCCTTAACACCAAGTTGATCTTGTTTAATAACACTAACCTACCAAACCCAGCAGGCCTGAGGTTGAAATCACAGAGACATTTTATTCTTTTGTACACTTAGTTTTTAGAAATTATTTACAGGATTAGGACAAAAACCTAAAATAATTTGACTGGGCCTGACTCAGTAAAAACAGATTTCCAACACATCAACTGTATTCTTAGGTTAAAATGATGGTAGGAAAAGGCAAAGAGAGCAATAAAGTTATTACAGAAAGACGAAGTAGACCCGTCACAAAAGACGTGCGCGCACACGCACACACACACACACACACACACACACACACACACAAAAAGATCAATGCATTGTTTTGAATGCACTCACTTCAATCTTTATTATGTAACAGTTGGTTCAACATTAGTAGAAATAGTCAATAGTTGTCAAAACATTTTGAATAATCAGTGGGGACCAGTAAGGACGACGCAAAACACTGATGACGTCTGTTCTGCTTTGTTTGGGTTGAGATGTGAAACATCACAACAGGACAAAGTTCTTTTTTGTAAAAGGAGGCGGGATCCTAAAGTTTGATCAAGAGAAGCAGTGAGCAGATGTAGCAGAAGTGGTGAGAGCAGGAGAACAGTGGGGTTGATTTGGAAGGAAAAGGAAAAAGGGAATTAAACAAGGGTGTTGAAGGAAAAAGAGCAAAAGGAAAAAAGGAGTTTAACTAAGGAGACCCGAGGGCCATATAACAGGTTCCAGGGGGAAGCTGGAGGCAGCAGGGTAGAGCTGGTAAGAGAGGAGGACAGGAGGGTTGTTTTGAGGAAATTATGTAAAATTTGAAGTCCGAAGGACTGGAAGGAATTGGGAGGGAAGTAGACATCGTCAAAAGAGAGGATAATGGGGTCAGGGTATGGCAAGGATAGTACAATGGTAAGAAGGGCTGGGTATCAAATCTCAATACTGAATGTCCAAAAAACACGTAATCTTGTTGACTTGACACTTCCAACTTTTGATTTTCAATTTTTTTTGTGGAAGTGGGCACCTCACTAGAGTACAAGTTTTTACTCAGTTTGTTGAATCAATATTTTGCCAATTTTAGAATATTCTATTTGGATAAAGTTCGTGTCAAAGAACACAAAGAACATGTGTTTAGACAGCATTTTACATTTGATATAAGTGTCCTTGTTTGTTAAATGAAAACATATCTCCGAAGTAAGGTTTCAAGGAAAGTGTCATTTTGGCATCTGTACTGGAGCTCAAATCGGCACCGGTATCGAAACGTTTCAAGCAACACACAAGCCCTTGGAGTAAGGAGGGTAAGTAAGGGAAGATTGGGAAGAATCTCTTTAACGAGTATGAGCCGATCTCTCCACTCCACAACGCTCTGCCGCTCTTCTCCGTCACTGCTTTAGACGGTTTTCTCAATTCCAAGCCTATGCTCCTCTCCTTCCAGCAGCTTCCTGTAGGTGGCGATCTCTGCATCCAGCTTGAGCTTAATGTGCAGCAGTTCCTGGTAGTCTTGGAGATACTTTGTCATCTCTAGTTTGGTTTTGCAGAGCTGGGCCTCCAACTGAGCAATGATACTCTCGAGGCCCTCCACCTTATCCATGTGGGACATTTCCATGTCCTCCAGCTGCTGCTCCAGGGCTGAGTTGCGAGCCCTCATACCATCAATCTGGTTCTGCAGCTCGGACACTTGGCTGTGGAAGGTCGTGATCTCGTCTTTCATGGTCTTCATTTGCTCCTCGTTTTTGCCGGCATGGTCCTTGAGGGTGTCAAACTTGCTCTTGTACCATTTCTCAGCTTCCTGGACATTGCGGGCGGCGACAGATTCTATCTCCGCACGCATGTTGCGCAGATAAGCGGCCAGGTCAGGCCGATCGCCATCCAGCTCCGCAGTGATCTTCGAGTCCTCGATCTGCTTCATGAGGTCGGCCACTTCTTCATCATGCAGCTTCTTGAGGAACTCTATCTCGGCTACCAGTTCCTCTATGCGCCTCTCCAGCTCAGCCTTCTGCAGTGTGGCATTGTCAACATCCTGGCGAAACTCCCTCAGGATCATCTCTGCCTCTTCCCTGAGTGCCAGCTCCTCCTCCAGCTTTAGTCTCCACACTTCGACCTCTTCTTCAATGTAGCCTCGCTCGATATCAGCTGCTGCCTTCTCATTGGTCAGGGCCTCGATCAGCTCCCGCACCTCTTTAAACTTGAGCTCGTATTCCTCTCCGATGCCCGTGGGGCCTCCCTTGTAGCGGCTCTGCAGCGCGGCCAGCTCAGCTTGAAGAGCGGCATTTCTCTGCTCTAGTGCCTGGACCTTCGAGATGTATCCCGCAAACTTGACGTTGAGTTCCTGCATCTCCTCTTTCTCGTTGGCATGTTGCGGATGTATCTCTGTGCCCAGCTCGATGGCACTGCTGCGATGACCGGCGCGTCCGCGGTTGTCATGTGAGGATCCACGGCACCGGGAAGGTGACGGGCTCTGAACCCTTAATCTGCCGCTGGAGTCGCTAACCTGCAGGCTCTTCTGGGTGTATGATGCAGCCCTCATGATTTGTGAAGATACTAGGATTTTTTTTTCTTTTCAGTTTACAGAGGAACAGCTGCTCTCTCTCGGCTTCTCTTTGTGCAGCACACGTCGCGACTGACGCTCCCTCAGATCACCTCTGAGTTTTTATGCGGCAATAAAGAATGTGTCGGATAACCATGAAACTCACGCTTGGTTTTAACATATTTCAAAAGTGGACTATGACAGTCTTTCAGTGAACTGTGGCTGCATGCTCTTCATTAGCTAACGCTGTACTGTTACTGGCCACTCCCTGGCCTTTACACCAGGATGTGAAATAGTGAAGAGATCATGTAAGTCTGCTATTTTTCACTTACTATCCACTTAGGATGGTAATGAAGTTGGGTGTGACAGGGAAGGCACCCAGTGCACTGGTAAACAGTGACGATGTGCTGTGGCAGCAGGTCTTCCTACACAACTTTGTGAAACTGCTCCGACGCTGATTCCCTTAACTCGCTCCGCAACAAGTCATGCGCCTAAAGAATCATTTTAAATTACATTTGGAAAACATGATGAATATTTCATATTCTCATCTCAGTTACCACCCAACATAATTAGAAAAAGCATTAAATCTACGACCAAAAAGACAGAAACTGTTCAGAACGAAAGAGGATAGAAAGACATTTTCCCCTGACACATAAACGGAGAGGCACAGGAGAGCGTGTGCCCAGAAAGCATTAAATGAAATAATAAATTAAATCAGCTATCAATATCCTTGAGGGTTTTATCACACGTGTCAAACCGGGGGCGGAAGCCTGAAATGTCTGCTCACCTAGGTCCACATGTAAATGTCTGAAGTGTCACTCACTTTGACATACTGTCCCGCAAAGTCAGTGACCTCTGAAGTGAAGCAGCCCGAGGCGTCCACGGGGCAGATAGGAGCCTGGTCCCGCTGGATGATTTTGTATTCGGTGCACACCCTGTGATCATCCTACAGAGAGAACAACACACAGATCAGTTTGTATTATCCAATTCTATGTTCTTTATTCATGTAATTCACTGCAAAAGAAGTAACGAGGTAGGAAATGATTGGCCGATTAATCGATCCCTCAATCTTTTTTGTTTTCTTAGTCGTCTGTGACAGTAATAACAGTTTGTTGTACAAAACAAGCAGTTGAATATGTCAGCTCATGAAGGGCATTTTCTGACATCTAAATTAATGATTAACAATGAATGGAGAAAATAATCGTCAGAACAAATCGATAATGAAAATAATTGTTAGAAGCCATTTAATGTAGCCTTTTACAACATTTAGAAAAATGTGTCTGGAAGTAATTAAGTAAGATTATCTTGATACAGTGACTAATGTAATTCTAGCTAATGTTATGTCGCAATGATATTCTCCTAAAGGCTAAACTGTTTATGAATAAGTGATGATCTAACCCCTTTGGCAGCCAGTTTCCCTCGTTCAAAGATATGTTATGACTCCATATCAAATTCCTTGTTGAGCCGGATACTTTTTACAGGGTCGAAAGAAGCCCGACCGGCATGTGACAGCTATGCATGAAAGATCGGAGCGCTGTCCAGCTGTAAATGTATTTCGTATTCAAACACCTTGTCAAGATCCGAGATGGATGGCTCATGGGGTCACATCCAGTCATAACAACATCAAATCTGAAAAATGTACTTTGGCAGCGCATTCCTTCTCACTGTATATCTTCAGAGGAAACGCATTTGCGTTTCAGATCTTCAGCAACCAATCAACGTGAATGTGATCCCTAAATAACAGAAGTGTTGCCAAAATAAATAAATAATCAAACATTTAAATACAAATGGGGTGTGAAGGGTTTATATCGGGACTGACTGCAGTGAAATAAGCAGAGAAGGCTAAAGAGAAAGAGTCTGTATCCACAGCTGGCTGCAGCCATGAGGGCATCCATCGGCCCCTGACAAGGGCATCTGACCCATCAGAAATGACTCAATGCCTCTAACGACACTGCAACCTTGGCCTCTACACTGTAGCAATATACTGATACTGTAGCATCCAATTCAAATATTTCATAAAACTAGGCATACACATCAATGTGAAGTGGGTACACACAAAGAAACAGGGTATCCATGAGAGGTTGAATGTATTTTAAATTGTCGGATGTGAGACAGTGTTCTACATTTTATATATAACAAAAACATAATAATGACAAGTTAACATGGTGGAGGGTATTCAAAGAAGTTTAGTCCTCTATTAAAGTGATGTTTCAACTAATGCCTGCATGTGTTGACTACAGAGAAGCTATAGACAGCACAACCCTTCTGCAGGACTGGATTAACAAGCTCACTCAAAGCAATGTTTCAGAAGTACATTTCTTAACTTTATTCTAAGTCCCTCAAGGAGGTGCAGTCCATTATGATTATAAAGGAGGAGGTGAGCCTGACAAGAGGCAGGCAGAGGATCGTCCAGTGACAGATGATTAACAGCAAAGGCTGCACACGAAACACTCACCACAGTAAGGCTGGGCGATACGCCCAAAACCATCTATCCAGATATACGTAATAATATCGTATCTTGATAATATATCTCAAAAAATAGTATGTTTTTGGGGTTATTCAATAAATAAATAAATAGTCTACAAGAAAAAAACACAAGGTAAAGCCTATTATTGTATACTCCTGAATTAAATGCTTGACAAATGAAAAATGCTGAATATTTTCTCATGTTATTAAGGACTATATTTTGAGTTAGTTTGTGCTTGCTATTATCAATTAATCTCGATATATGATTTCATCACAGTATGATTGCATTGAAACACGCTTGATGTATATCCAACACTTACACTAAAAAGCCTTGGTTGGTATGGGTCTTTATTGACTAAATGGCTTATGCCTAAGAGAGTATCCAACTGTCTGAAAATGTATCGCACTGTATTTTGAAACACTTGTTAGTAGGTGCTCATTCCCCACTTCTGTTAGCAAATGTCATGCTATCATATGCTGATGTACTTTTGGTAAACTACAGAAGTGGTGCTGAAACAAGTAGTCAATTAACTGATTATTAACTATTTAAGAGTAATTTATCGAGTCAAAATGCTGAACAATTACTAGTTTGTGCTTCAGAAATGTGCTGTTTTCTGTTTGAAATAATTTTAACTTTTGGGTTTCTTTCGTCAAAGAGAATAGCGATGGTCAGTTTGTTTTTATGGCCTTTACTAAACAAAAAAGGAAATCAGTAAAAGACCACACTCACAGCTCCAAAGTAAGGTGCCTGGTGGACCACTCCTGTGCCCTCTTCCTCCCTGACGTAGTTATCCGTCACCACCTGGAAGGCTCCTGTCTCCTCACACTGAAGTGAAGCGAGGATGAGGAGAATTAGATGAAGGAGGGCGAGTTGCGAACAAGCAATAGAAATAGAGCCACAGACAGCCATGTTGATAGAAAGAGAGAGAGACGAAGAGACAGATTTAGAGAACATCAACGGAGTTGCCAATTTGTGGTGAGACAGGTAATTAAAGTGAGACATGGGTCTGTCTTCGGTTTGTGGCAAACAATACATGAACCTGTGGAACAAGAACACGGACTACTGACCTTGGCAAAGTACTGGAATAGAGGCGTGTATTTTTTCCCTTTCAGCATCTTGCCAGGAAATCTAAAAACACAAAAACACATTCAAAGTTCAATTCACCCTAATTTAATTTACTCACAATATTTCTCTGAACAGTATGGTCTGTCCAGCTGTAGCTAAATATGGCAATAGATGCTGTTATGTGACGATGAACATACAATCAACAAGTATGAGGTCTCAATCAATCAAAAACAAAAATGGGGTTTTAAGAAGTATTTTTAATACTGCAATTTACATGGCACTTTTAAAAACACGTATAGTACAAGGTGACCCAAAGCCAATCAAAACAGCTTCAATGTACCATAGAATATTAAAGAAAAATGTTTATAAGACACATTATGATTCTTACTTAGGACATAAACTGACATCTTAATTTAAAGTTAGATAGAATTGGTGTTGGCAGCTGAGTCAGCATGATGCACTGTTTTTTTAATCATCATACAAATAAATCTCAGCTTCTATGTGTGGAGACTTCAAAGAAGAGGCTCGTGCCAGACATCAGTAAGCCTTCTTTATTGCCATTTAATTTGTCCAGTATATGGGGTGAGTGGGTATAAATCATGCCTGGAAATGTGCTCCATCAGCTTTCAGTGTATTCTGTATCCTCTATTCATTAAGGTGATTTCTGTATTTCACTTTGAGTGTTTTCTCTTCTCTATTCTGCACTTCACCCTCTACTCCAGAATCATAGTACCTTAGAATGAGCAGTTTATATCTACATATGTAGCGGGTCTTCATCACGGAGCGGGACGCAATGTTTCTACAGTAGCCCAGAGAGGACACACCAAACACTGGCTCTAGATAGGGGGTGGAAGTTTCAGTTGGTTGAGATCTACAACCTCACCGTCTGATGCCGCCAAATCCTACACACTGCACCTTGAACACCGTTATAAATCAAGAGGAAACCTTTCACAGGACCCGTGAAATACAAGTTTGACGCTCACTGAAAGATTAGTTAGGTTTGAGCTAGTGTCCCAAATGCAGAATATTAAGGTTAAGAAGATAGTGGGGGAGTAATAACTAATGGAAAAACACCAACTCTGAGGTAAGTACATAAACACTTAACACTACAACAGTGTTGTACGAACCTCCTGCCAGTGCGTCAGTCACAAGAAAATGTACTGATAAAAATGAACAGCAGTCTTAAGTTGAAACTACAGTAGATATTACGATTAGGGTCGACGGCAATGTGCTGTGCAATACTTTCATGTCATTTTGGGAAAATAATTTCCTCAGTGGGCAAAGGACTGAACTTAAGCTTCTTTAATGTGACGCATCTCTAAGTTAAACAGAATATGGGGTCGGGGTTTAGTTACAAGAATGATTTGAATCAAATCCTTGTTATTTGATTGGATCGATCAAAGGTTTTAGTCAGTATTTAATAGTATTCGTCATTTTTTAGGCGGCTTTAGGGTCTTGTGTACTTACTTGTCTAAGAGAGTGTACTCGCTCTCGGACTTAAACAGAGCTCCCAGCCTGGCCTCCATCAAGATGTAGGTCTTCTCTGTGGCGTTATCTGAGAGATAAACACACACACACACACACACACACACACACACACACACACACACACA